ATTGTGATACCCGGCTTCAGCCTGCATCTCATCAACAGGAAGCTTTCCAGATGCCAGGGCAGAGGAAAATGAAAATTCTACATTTCAGGACCTTTTGGTTGTTTTTAGGACTGTGGCAGAGGCTGCAGTTCAGTCTTTAACCTCTGATGACATTGTCTTCTCCCTACTGTGCCTGAGCCCTTGCCACTGTTGCTTGTGACCTCTCAGGCACCCAGCCACACTTGGCTTAGCTTTTCAGCAAGGCCTTTACCTTTGCAACCAATTTCTTGTGCTTGGCATAATCCTGATGACTTTTTTTTTTCTGATGTGACCTTAACCTGGTGAAATTAACAGACATTTCAAAAATGAGCACATCTATCATACAACAAACTTGATTAGCTTCTCAGCTGCTTTTCCTGGTACTATCTCCATTTTAGCTATTGTGCTCACCGGGTCAGTGCCATCCTTGGCCCTTTTCTCCCTTTCCTACTTCTCTTTAGTCCACTGGCAGGTCCTGTTGTCTCTGAATGGGCATCCTTACAGCTGACTGCTCTCTTACACCACTACTAACATACCATTGTCCAAACCATTGACTCTTTCTGTTGTTGTTGTTTGGTTTGGTCAAGACAAGGTTTCTTTGTGTAACAGCTCTGGCTGTTCTGGAACTAACTCTGTAGATCAGGCTGGGCTCCAACTCACAGAGATCTGCCAAGCATTGGGATTGAAGTTGTGGGCCACCAATTCTGCCAAGCACCACTGACTCTTGATTGGACTATTTTTGGAGCCCAATAGTCTCTTTGTCTCCACAGGGGATTTCAGTTACCAGAGTAACCATTCTGTTAAGTACTGTCTATTGCCTTCTTTTGAAAAACCTTCAGTAATTTGTGTCCTTGATAAGAAGAAAGGGGAACACGGCAGCCTGTGAGCCCCAAACTAACCAGCACCCTCTATGTCATTCATTTTTAGTGTCTCTTCCCTTTAGAACATGAACAGAACAGGGGTTTATGCAGCACACCCTGTACAGTGAGAGTATTTCACATTGGGATCCACACTAAGCATGCATGTTATATGAAGCGTGTAATTTGTTTTTATTTATAAAGTTCCTGTGTCCTATGTTGCAGCTTCCTAAACTATAGGTCACAACCCCACACTGGGATATCACAAAAAATTGGCCACAGAAAAAGGCTCCTGAGCCTGTTCCCTATGATGGGATGCCTTGGTACAGGGGGGAGGGGCTTGGTCCTGCCTCAACTTGGTGTGCCAGGCTTTGTTAACTCTCCAAGGAAGGCCTTATCCCCTAGAAGGAGTGGATTGGGTTGAGAAGTGGGGAGGTTGGAGAAGGTGTGGGAGGGGGCACTGGGGTTGGCATGTAAAATGAAAAATAAACTTCTAAATAAAAAAAAAAAAAAAAGCAAAATACTCCTGATTGTGCGGTGACCAAAAGTGGATCCAAAATCAACCATGTAGCAATGTGTGTGTGTGTTTCTAGCAGTAACTGCCTGTGTTATTTTGCACAATATCACTGTGTTCTTGGCTCTGAACAAGTGACAAACACACTTTCTTTTGTGTTTGTCAACATGAACCACAGACAGACAGCCTGGAATACCCTTGTTCACGTCAGTAACTATGCTATGAGTTGCAGTGTTTGTACTGCACAGAGTTTTCTGCTCTTTATATAGTGATAGCAGTTAAGTTATGAGAAGCCCAGGCTTTTAGCATATTCCTGCCATCATTACTCAGCATGTAAGTATAAACTCGGCATATCTTTGGATTCTATTGCTTTACAAGGTTTGAATTTAAGTATTATTGTTTGGGGTCCTGACTATGTCTCATAAAATGTCATAAACTGAAGTTGGGCTTGAGGTTAGGACAGGACTTCAGCAATTTTTGAGATGGCTCTGAACATACCTCTGTCATTTTGTACTGCATATCTGTATGTTGTAGTGGTCTCACCATCGACAATTCTATCATCAAAATATCAGCCAGTTTTCCAAACTGTGGATGCTGCTGAGTGGGTCCTACAGTATCCATTAATCAGTCAAGATTTCTTTATGCAAAAACAAGCAAATCTGTCTTTAATACACAAATTTTTTTCCAAAATATGGTAAAATTACATATGTATATAATTATATATGCCCATACGAATATATATGTATATCGTAACCAAATAATTATTTTACATTTCTTTATGATTTTTTTTTAAGCTTGATTTGTGTGCCTATTTTGTATCCCTAGCAAGTGAAATGAAAAGGGGTCATGAGAGGAAAAAGTTTAGGATACCCTGCTAAGTGCTGTGTATATCCTCCAGTCTGGAGCAGGAAGGAGGCAGTGCCTGTAAGCATGGCTTGGATCAGGGCCAGGTTGGGCGGGGCTCCTGGGGCAGACAGAAAGAGCATGCTCCGTTGAGTCTGCTTTCCGGTGGCTAAGTAGATAACCGGGAGGGGTGGAGTCACCGGGGCAGTTCCCGGTGTGGACTGTTCTGCTCTGATTGGCTGTGAGAAAGGCTTGTGCAGGCTCGTCCTTTTATTAGGTCCACCATGCAGGCTGCAGGCTAGCCACACTCGCCTGGGCTGTGGTGGGCACTGCTCGCGGAGACAGAGGTTGGAGGACTGCGCCCGGTGAGTGATGGCCTCGGTCCTGGCTGGGTGCAACCGACTCATGAGCTGGTGTCCTACGGATCCGAGGGGTAGGCAGGGGAGGTCCCATCACGGTCTCTGGCCTCCAGTTGCTCTGTTCCCGGGCCGCTTTCTGCCTCGGGGATCTGAAGGTGCTTTGAGGATGACGATGCCCTGGGTCTTTCCAACACGTGGTCTGTCCTTCCCTGAGAGCCCTTCTGCTTCCTGGGCAGGCGCCATCGCCGATCAGGGAACCTGTTCAGAATTCCTGGACTGGGGGAGAGATAGGATGCCTGCCTCTCACTCTTCTTCCTCCATTTCCCCCGTTATCTCTCCTAGATAGTGTTAGCCAAATACAGGGTCAACAGCAAACTTGGGCAAGGGTCCTGCTTAAAACCGCAGTGATACTCTGTGTAATTAGCTAGCTCTTTGCTTCCAGTATTTGACTGGTGTGACTCACATTATCCTGAAAAATGGGCTTTCCAGTATTATCGGATTGAAAGAGAAGTAGACTGTAGGAGGCACTGTTTGCAGGTTGGGCATTGCCAGTTATTGAAAAACTACATTGGGCCCGTATTTTCGTTTGTCGCTGAACCGCCCCCTCCCATTTCTCAAAAGCAACACCTGCACATTTAGTGTGTGTAGGACTTGGCAGGGTCCGGGAGGTTCAGAGTTGAATTAGACTTAAGCGCTGCCCTTCCCTCTTTCTGGGGTGAAACGAATGCAGACAGATAATGAATTGCATTGTTATGAAGCCACAAATATTGTAATAAAGGTGTTCTAAGAGCCCGGAATAGCACACTAAACCCAGCTCAGAGCCTTATCGCACAGTCTCCTGAAAGAACTTCCTGTCAAGTTTTTGAGCAACAGGGTTGTGTTGGAAGCAAAGTCTAGTGGGTGATATTCCACACGAGTAGCTTCCCCTGTTCACCCTTCTGGAGTGAGTGCCCTTTGGAGACTGCATCCCGGTTCTGTAAAACCAGCTTCCACCACCTGCTCATTGTAAGCTATGTTGAGACATTTATTTTATCATACCTTCCCCTCCTTTGATTCTTTTTTTTTTTTTTTTTTTTTTTTTTTTTTCTCTAGTACTGAAGTAACTCTGGGACAGTGACCTTAAGATAAAAGTTAGCCTTGGGCCATGCTACATGCTGGTGACTAAAAGCAGTAGGCTTGCTGGGCCTTCACAGACTCAGAATAAAATCCCCTAATGTCTACAATGCTGAGATACACTGTTGCTTGGAGAAGTCATTTCAGGAGAAATTGCATCTCCCAAAGAGAGTCCGTTCTCTTCTGCAGGTGCCTGAGAGCCAATTTCCTAAGAAATGGGGAATATTTGCTTTAAGAGAGCCTTTATTTAGTTATTTGTTATTTTCAAACAACAGTACTCAGGTATTAGCATAGACAGGCAGAACACATTTAGAAACTTCTATGTCTTGCCTTGGACAACCTGAGAAATTAGTATATTCAGCAGTATAAAGGTAGGCATCACCCCTAAGGACCCCTGTACATAATACTTAGGGATTGTTCCCTCTTGTCCTTTCTTCTCTCCAGATATTAATCTCTTTTCTGTCACTGTAGATTGCATTGCATTGCATCCAAGTTTTATGTACTTTGGAACAATTCCTTCCCTCTCACTCCCTCACTCTCTCCCTGACTTTTTTGATGTAGCATAATTATTTTGAGATTTGTCCATATTGAGTGTTCATGCTGAATTATGTATACATAAACATACTTTGTTTATCTATTTATTCATTTGGTTTGTCCCCCCCTCCCCCAGCTTTTGACTGTTATATACAAAGCTGGTATAATTTGTGTGTAAGTCTTTGGAACTGTGTATCTGTCTTTTAAAGTGATTAGATGGATTTTTAAAGGCCTGGATCACAGTTCCAACATTTCTTCTAACCTTACTCTGGGCATTGTTAGAGACTTGTGGCACCCCACTAGTAACATCCCAAGCTCTTTGCTGCACTGCAATTTGAGCCATCACTGGGGTGATCTTTGTCGATGATTGAAGAGTTTGTCTCTCCTTTCTTTTCAGTTTTATTCGCTTGAGGGACACTTTTGAATACTGACATTCGGTTTCGGGAAAGAACAAATTGCAGAGACAAATTGCAGGGAAAAGCTAATGTTGGCTGAACTTGAAAATATATTTAAATCCTAAGCAGAGGGGGGAAGCGGGGAGTTCTTTGGCTCTTTCTTTTTCTTATCCTGTCTAAGTTCCTCTCCATGTCGCTTCTCTAGGAATAGTTTCTTTAACTTTGGGAGGAGATGGTAAGTGGGTGTACAAGGCAGCACGTGGTAACTGCGGGTGGTGGTTCTGGGGGTGTCTCAGTAAAACCAAATCCATGTTTTCCCCTTCCAAAGATAGCTCGAGTCATTTGTTTCATATCTGTCTTCCTGTAGGATTTTATCCTACACGTGGTTCAAGACTTTGAAAGTGGGCATTGAACTGTCAATGCATGATTGTGTGATAAAATTCTGCTGGCGACTTTAAACAGAGGAAGATGCAAATCATGGGCCTGGTGGTCTGTCTTGTCCTTGTGATCCTGCTTTCTGGAAGGTCCACAGGATCCGTATCACATGTGGACCCTGAAGTAAACATGAACGTGGTGAGTTTCTAAAAGTCACCTGCTTTTAAAATGCAACAATGACAAGTGCTATTTTCTTAAGTAGAGTTATATGAGCTGTAGGAAGTCATAACTAATCTCTTTATGGCTCATTGTGATTTTTGTTTTTTCTGAATTGCAGATGCCACGTGCTAGACTTTTCCCACTAGATATTGCTGAACATGACACATGGATTATGCTAAACAATGTGCTTTAGTAATTTAATTCTTAAATCATTTTAAACACACTTCAAAACTGATAAAACTGTGTAAGCCCTTTACAAGAGTGCCTTTGTTTTTTGCTGAATATGGGCTGTGATTGACAATGTCCAGGAAACATAACTCAATACAGTTGTGAAAACATCAGAAGTAATTGTTAGACGATATAAGCAAAATATTAACCACCGAGTTAATTAAAACATTTCAAAATTAATAATATTGGCTAAGCAGTAGAATATGGAAAAACTACAGGTAAGAATACAATAACAAGAAAGTACAGATTATTAAAGAAACAGCAACTTTAAAACAGACGCTTGATTGACCCAGCTGAAGAACTGGGTGACTGCAGTGACAGAAAAATTCCCGGGAGACTGGATAGTATGGCATGATACAGGCCAAGGTTAAGCTTTCTTTTGGCATCATCTCTTTTAACAGTTCCTTCCTAAGGGAATAGTGAAATTAAAGTCTTTCCGGTATTTATGGCAGAGTGGATAATGAACACTTCAGTCTTCTACGTAACTGATTTATGCTTTCCCACTGAGCTCCCAGAGATGCATTCTTAGTGGAGAAGTGAATTTGATGACAGTTTCCCAGTTTTCAGCTTTTCTTCAACCTCAACCTGATGCTCTAGTGAATTGTTTCTGGGTCCAGGGCTGAAAATGATTTTTTTTTTTAAAAACGCCTTATTGCCTAGGCTAGGAATTTTATGAAACATGAAAAATGTTAGCTGACATATTTAGAAGAGATGTTTGATTTACACCTGGTAGGCATGATGAAAACAACAAGGCCCCAAATTTGACATATTTGGTGTAGAACATGCTAGAATGATGAAATACCTGTGAGTATAAAGGATTGATGCGTGAGTTGGGATCTTGGCTATCAGATTGAGCAGACTCAAGTAGCAATGATTTCCTTTCAAAAGCTAAAAAAAGTCCTGTGTTTGTTTTCTTCTGTGCCTGTTATTTTTGGAGATTGAAGAATCAGAGTCCAGTATAGACTGCCTGTCGTTCTTTCTCTCCCCAGACGGAAATGATCAGGTACTGGGGATACCCAAGTGAGGAGCACTTGGTCCAGACAGAGGATGGGTATATCCTGAGTCTTCACCGAATCCCTCATGGCCGGAAGAACCATTCTGATAAAGGTATGGTGTTTTCTGTGGCAAGATTTAACAGCTTTGAGAAGTCACCACATTGTCTGAGTTGGTGAACTAATTTGGGCTTCATTTGGCAATGTTGCCACAGGATGGGCTGGAGGCCAAAGTACCAGCCAAGCTGAGGTAACTGTTTTAAAGCCAAGTCAGCTCAAAGGTCATATTCTATGTGGAGTGTCAAAATATCTATTTATGTTGTTTTTCAAGGAAGCATTTATCTAATGAACTGTCCAGAGCATCAAAGAGTTGCCTTTTGCAATTTAAAAATTACTCAGTTTGTTGAAAAGGTAATATATTCAAACAACATATATAATATATAAATAACATATGCAAAAAATCAAGAAATATACAGTAAATACTTCTATCTTTCTAGTTTTTAAAAAGTGTTCGTGTATAATATCTTCATTTAAAATCTTTGTGCCTTCAGACATTCATTAGAAACAAATATGGAGTATTTTTCTGTTGCCTCCTTTTAAGTTCAAAACATACTATAAAGGAAATAGTGTTTTATTATTTATTTATTTGCTATCAGCAAACTCACAAAAAGTGGATTTATTTATCATCACAGATACTTTCCCAGTAATTCATGGAGCACTTATCTGCAGATAAGTGTATTTATTGTATCTTTATATCATGTATTGCTTAACAGGTGTTCTGTTAGGGAATATTTGTGCCCATTTGAATGTTCACCTAACAAATGTTGCTGCTGAATACAACAAAACAAAACAACAACACAACACACATATTGTTCAAATTTATTTAGAGGATAAATTTCCCTCCGAAGAATTTTGATGTCAGATGACATATGACTTGTGTTTTTGACAAATTTTTGGAAAAATTGCTCTCTATGTATGCGTGCATTGACAGTGAATTTTACTAGGAGTATATAAAAGTTCTTGTAGATTTGCCTTAAAAATATGGACCTTGGTATGTATTTGTATTCTTACTTGATCAACTTATAACTCAAACAAAACTGTGGTCCTGATGTGGATAATGACATTTCTAGACAAACTACCTGAAAGTATTAACAGTCGTCAGGATAGTAGATCTTCCTTTAATCACCTCTCCAGATGTAGCCAGTTGCTCTTCGGAAATATAAGGTCTGAGCTAAGTTAGCTGGCTACCTATCTCTTCTGTTAGGGTTTTACTAGACAGAGAGTGCTCTTTGCCCCATGTGCTTCTTAAACGGTTATTCAGAACAGACAACAAATCTGGGTGAAGGTGAGCTTTGCCTTACGGTTCTCCTTTGCCAGCTGATATACCTGTTTTCCCTTTCCTCCAGGTTCTGCCTGTCACAAGACACTAAATAATGCTATTGTGGCTATGGAAGTGTTCTTTCTGAAATTCCTTTGAGATTTTGTTTCAGTATTTATAGTGCTATAGTATCATATTTCCCTGGTGAGTCTTTTACAAAAGGAAGGATGGATTGCACTGATCTGTGCTTCCTGCTCACAAACACATAAAATACATATTTTATGTAAGAGTGAGCATATGATCTTAGTTTCCTTCCTTTCCCCACCCCCCAAAAGTACATACACAGGTTTCAGACGCTAAAGACAAATAAGTGTGGATATTATTTCCTATAAAGTACTTAGTAATCACTAATATGAGCCATTGTTCAAAGGTCCCAGGTCAAACCATGCTGAGAGAATTTACCACCTCTGATTCTGTGTCCACCTCCATGTTGCAATTAAATCATACAGAGCTCCTGTCTTTTGCACACACATATCATAGTGTGGCAGGGGGAGGGGCCTCCTATGAAGGAAGGTGCCCCTGGGATGAAGAGACAGAAATCTTTGGAGCCATTCGATGGTCCCTTGCAGGCTGGGGACGTGGATACTCTGTCTTCAGACTATAGAACCCGGACTGAGCATGTTCTTGGCCAAATCTAGCTTTAGCTTTAGGTCTCCATCTTCCTTCATAGTTCTGAGGAGCCCTGCCCTCCTGTGGGGAGGTCTGTGATCTGTGTGTTTACCAGCTAGCCTCAGAGGGGGCTTTTCAAGGATTTCTGTGACTCAGTTCTGTAAAGGAGTTGTGATTTTTCTAAGAACTGCATAGATACTTTTGCTTGGTCTGTTCTCTGTGGTACTGGACAGAGGCTCTCTATTATGTCTGTTGAGGAGTAGTGTAGTCCGTGCTATTTACCTGCCATCTTGAAAGTTAAAAAAAAAAAAAGCTGAAGAGAATATGCAGTCCTCAAAATGGTATCAATCTCATGAATGTCACTTCACTTCTGACTTCCAATTAATAGCACCACCGTCTGTCCTTCCAGTGACCTAGACTAGATATTGCAAAGTCATTTCCCTTTTGTTTGACAGTGCTAGGGATTGCAGGTCCTCATGCATACTAGGCAAGTGCTGCCGCCAAGCTATATCCACAACACATGCAGAATCATTCTTGATTCCCAGTCTCTAAGTTACCCACAAATATCCCCTGTTAATCCCATTTCTCCCTTGTTCTGACCACACTTCACGTTAAGCTCTTGTTACCATTCCGATAGGCCCCTGAGACAGCTCAGAAGCTGAATCTTGAATGACTCAATTTTGGGGGTGGGTGGGATCCTCATGTACCAGAGAAAAAGGATCTCAAAGCAGGAATATGGAAATACAGTATCATGTTTTATGAAATTAATGCATGTAGGAAGTAATTCCATATAGCCTTATTCTATACAGGCAATTATAAGGTCCATTAAAATGTTGTTTATCTGTGGGGCAACATACTTGGGGAACAGTCATTTACAGATAAATCACGCGTAGGCTCTTCAGACAGTGTCACAGGTTCTGTGTGAGCACAGGGCTGAGCCAGGTGTCTGCTCTGCTATGGCCTACTGTAAGCTCTCTCTGTTGCCTGCTGCCTCTTGTCCCAGCCTCTCTGTCTTCCTCTGTCCTATGTAGTTTTGCACATGGAGTTGCTTAAGGCTCAGCTATTATGTGATTTTGTGAGGCAGTGATCTTCAAGGATCTAATGGATGAAGATATGTACATTCCTCAATATTCTATCCTGGCTGCTTGTCTGCACTCCTCAACCCATCTGGAGCAACAGGCTTTTGTACTTGTGGTTATTGGAGATTACGCCTGCAATTTTCCATTTAAAGCGTGTTATTTGATGTGTGTGTGTGTGTGTGTGTGTGTGTGTGTGTGTGTGTGTGTGCACTTGCGTGTACGTGCGTGCATGTATGTGTGTGTATGCACATGCTTGTGCTTGTGTGTACATCTGTGTGTGTGTGTGCACGCATGCGTGTATGTATGTGTACACCCTAGTGAACACCAGAGGAGACATTATATATTCTTTTGTCATTCTCCTTTCCAGTCTTTGAGACAAGGTCTCTCACTGAGCCTGAAGCTAGCCTGCTAAGCAGCAGACACTGGAGATCCTCTTGTCTCCATCTCTCACACTGTGTTAGGCTTTCTATGTGGGCGGTGGGTGATTTTCCCATGGAGCCATCTTCCCATTCTTAACCAATCATTTGAATCAGATGTTGAGCCATTGCTGTATTTGCTAAGTGCTTAAGGGAACTGAAATACAGAAATGAATCATTTACAGAGAAGTGGTTTTATTTTTATCTGCTCAGCCTTCATGCTGAGTGTTAATGCTCCAAGGCTCTCATTTCCTGCTTGGACCAAGGATTTGCAAAGCTTGTACCTTTATAACATACTCCTGGCAGACTTCTAGGTATCTAGATCTTTGTGTTCTTGACCTATACCCTCATTTCCTGCTCAAGATAGCGGAGGCAAAGGGAGTCGCTTGGGCATTTTGACTCAGAGGCAGTATTCCTTGAAGTGACCACATGCCCTTATATAATAAGTATTGAGCAAGCTGATCCCATGATAACCATAATATAGACTTTATTTAGCTGAAACAAGGAAATGCTACTTGTGCCAGCATTAAAAATGAAACACAAGGCAGATTTACTTGCTAATTGCCTAACTGAGAAATCAGCAAGTTTTTAAAGGGAACCTCATCTGTATCTGAATTCTGCATCTCATGGCCTGGTTGGTGAGGGAGCACCCTGGGTTGTGCAGTCCCTGACTGAGCATAGGCAGCATTCAGAAGTGGGCTTCTCAACTGTGGCCTGGGCGCAGTCTCCCCAGGGGTTGCCCACTGAGCCATTAAAGTCATAGGTGAAAGGTCACCACAGGACTTTTGAGCTGTCTTGCATAGATAAGCCTCCTAGCATCCTGAACAACTCTAGGTTTTTCTCTCCTTAGAAAAACCATCCCTTTGGAGGAAACCAGTTGTGGGTTTCTGGCTTTCATTAATTAAATTTTAATAAATGCAGTTTTGGTAGGCCTACATAATCTGGCATGTGAGTCCTTGTGCCAGAGGCACTGAGCATGCGTGGGTCAGCTCAGTGCATCCCTAGGCTTGTTGAGCTCCCCTGCTGCTACATTAGGTAGGGGGCTGCCTTTGGACCTTTGAAACTCAGCAACATAACTGTGGTAGCTGTGCAGTTTCTCTCCCATAGCCTGGTTGCGGTTGGAGCGAAAGGGAAGTGTAGCACAGAGGAGCCTGTGCTGGCCTGCCCCTGCCTGCCCCTCCCTTCCTCATACTCCTCCCCTTCTTCTTGGCTTAATGTCATGTGTCTAGGAGATTTCCCCAGACACTCAGAACAGACCCAGCCCTTAGGACTATATCATCTGTGTTTGTTTTGCAGCAATTAGTTCAACAATAACTCAGGTGGATGATAGCGTGAATTTACTGCCTTCCCCACGGGGCTAAGTTCAGCTGGAGCCTGTGGAGGCCAAAGTCTTCTCTGACTTCTGTAGAACTCTTGGGATTGGAGTGAGCACAACATTGAGACTCCAAATATTCCTTGTTCTAGGTCATATTGGGGTCAAGGTTTCCCTCTTCTCCAGGCTTAGAGACAATATGAATGAAATCTGTAGGCTTACTGCGGAGGGTACAGCTAGAGACTGTGTCACCTAGTGTGAGCCTACTAAAAGTACCAGCCTTAGGCATAAGTGTGATGGTAGCTGTTTACTTAACCTCTC